TTCATTTCTGTTGATCCAAGACAGAGGACAGCAACCAACAGCTTGATGTGAACTTGGAGATCACACTGCCTCTTCCCTGGGAGGCTTCCAGAGAAACCTTAGGTGCAGGGGTTGTCTCCATGCCAGCACACAAGACAGTAATAAACTGTTCACTTTACAAAATATTGTTGCAAGTCAGGAAGTATGCCTAATAAACCATTTATGCCAGATTATTTTGTTAAACTCCTGGGATTTTTACCTAGCTAAGACTTTCAATGTACTTCTCGCACCGCGTTCCTCCCCTTTTGGCTTGCTTTGGCTGTAGGTATTGTATTTTGCTCATCTTTGTGGAAGAGTGCTTTTCAGGGTTAGCCTCTATATTATTGCAATGGCCTTCAAGATACTCTCTGCCTGCCTTTGTTTGCTTATAAACTGCTCCACAAAGAGCTGAGAGATCTTAAAGTGTCTCTTAAAACATGACACTAGAATTCTGGTTAAGCTTGCCAAGATTCCTGTGTTAACAACCTTGTTTTATTCAGACAGGTACAGATTTTTCCATGCCCCCGCCCCTTGCACACTCTATTTATTTAGTTCTTTTATGCAGATTCCTGTACCTTTCATAATGGATTGTGACTCACTTCAAACCCTCTTTCTTTTTTCCTTCCCCCTCTCCACACCAGGGCTGACAATATTTACTCAGTTTCTTTAGAACCTCTAAAGAGCATGAATTCTAATGTTTGAAGTTGGATCATTTTTGATTAATTAAATATATATTATGGTGGTGCCAGCAGCATGACTATAATTAAAGCCGTACTGGATTTTTTTTTCATCAAAAGCTCTGATTTTCAAGTGTTCACTCACCCCTGTACGTGCTTGCTCCCCCCTCCCCCCGCCCCGAGATCCTTGTCTCTGCTCTCCCCCATCTGCACTCGCCCCTGCACACATGCTCACCCACCCATTAGCTCTCACACCTGCACTCCCAATTGCTCACATTCTGTGGCAAATCCTCCTCGCTGCTCACAAGGGCAGGATGCAAAGGGCATCCCCTGGAAAAGCAGCCCGCACCAGTCGGGTCTCCTCCCATCACAGCCACCACGCAGCCCCAGGAGGGTGAAGCTAAAGGATGAAGCCACGCTTCATCCTAGTTCATCTTCACCTTGCTTAATCTCAGTCCACAGGGCAACTCCCCTCGTGAAGGCAAGTCGCAGAAACCTCAGCCCTCTAGAAAGGCAACGTGCCCACTGCCACACAAGCCCCTTCACGGGCAGTAAGTCTGTATTTCAGTGAGCTAAAAAACACATCTAGGTTGTTTCAGATGTCATAACAGCAATAGAAAAACACTCAGACGTGCCACTCGGTGTGCCACAGGGGTGCTGTGGTGACACTCATGCTGCTTGGAGCCTAGTTCCTTTCTCCAAGTGCCCCAAACAGGTTGAGCAGAAAGCACTGAACATCCAGTGTTGCCCTTCACTCTAAGCTACTCCTTCTCTCAACACTGCACAGCTTACCACAACCAATCATTGTGGCTTCTGAAAAAATCCAAGCAAAAATCCAGCAGGATTTTGCAAGAGCCATTTTATAGCAAGAAAGAAAACATGAGGCTTATGAAAGCAAGCAGAAAATCCTGGCACATCCTTAGCTTAATCCAAACGGCTCCTGTAAGCACATCCTAGAAGCCTCAGCTCTGACAGCACAGCTGTGACCCCGTGGCACGATCCATGCGAGAGGACACTCGTAGCGCCTCACCCGAGCACCAAGCTGCCGTTGTGGCCCACAGCCTGTCTCTCTGATGTCTCAGGTCACCTAAGGGACACCATCAATGTGAAACCAAGCCAATGACAACAGATTTTTAAAGTAATTTGAGATGCTGCTAGTTCCTCAAACACAACTGAGCGATGCCTTTGTTGTCACGTGCTCCTGTATTCGACAATCATTTCTAAAAATCTTTCTACATAGTGTGATACAAAAGGAAAAGAAGTAGGAATGCAAAGGGAAGACTCATGTGGGCTTCAAGCTCGCTGTTGCAATGGCTCCATTTTGGATGGGAGACACACATGGAAGGAAAAGCCTCAACTGTAGAGCTACGCTGTCAATCTGCAACAGGGGCCCATATTTCTGGAAGAGACAACAACTAAATAATGACAAAACCCAAGTACTTATTTGCAAATAACCAGCACTTCTTTGGCATTGTACTTAACAGCTTGCCTGTCAGTTTGCTGTTCAAATACAAAAAGAACTTTAAATATCATCTTTCAAAATGTACAGGTGTCTGAATATTACAGTTATGAATCTAAGCAGAAGTGACATTCTGGGCCCAATGGATCAGATTATACTCTTTCATGATCTGAAAACCTGCTTAACTACACATTTACCAATTACTCATTTCTGAGGGATGTACGACCTTTCAGCACAGTCTTCTGTTGTCAGTTAATGAACAGAAGTACATAATTGTTCTCTACTTCAGGAGATAAAGTAAAGCCACAGTAGGTGATGCAAGATACAATACTGTAATAATGCTCACTAGATGAACATGCTTAACATTCTTAGAAATGTGTTCTTAAACTAACAGTTCTGCAGCTATTACAATCAAACATCACTAATAAAACCATGATGCCTGCACAATCCCAAGAGGTTTAACTTCATGATATAAAAACAGTTATCATAAAAACATAGGTAAAGAACAAAATGAGTTTTTGCTAATATTTTAAAATATTTGCAAGAAAGAAATCTTTTATAGCAGACTGGTAACAGTCTTGAAAAAAATATTAATAAAAATGCTTAAACATAAACAAGATATTTTTAAACAACTTTTGGTCACTAACAGATGTCTCTATCTTTCATAAATTTGAATGGATCTCATTTTTATTTCTGGAAAACCACAGTGAGCCTTTGATCAAAATGTAAATGGCTCAATGGCACTGAAGCCATGGCAAAGGGAGGTGTCCAGTTCTGCTCAGCAGAGGAATTTGGGCTCCATCTCACAAAGCTCTGTAAGAGTTGGGTATGAAGGAGGCTGCATGTGCAGTCTCTGATTTCAGAAAATGCTCCTCTTCAGTGATTTCTCTCCCACACTTCTTGACTCTAACAGCATCCTGAAAAATTCAACTCTATACTTAAAATTTGGGAGTTAACAGGACATTTTAATAAGTAATAAATAATTTTCATTTCTATTGTTACTTATTCCCTTGGGAGGAACAATGTGTCAGCTGCTTTAGCTCTGCTTGAGGTAATTTCCAACAGGTGGCAGAGATACTGACAGCGGGCGGGAGGCTGCATGTGTGTTGACGTATACACACATATATAAGTTACATGAATCTCAATTACAAGCTGATTCATCAAATTATTGAAGTGGAACTGATAAGCACTAGTTTACCTAAAGCCAGGTTATACCTGTATGAATGAGCATCTGCCAAAATTTAATGCACCTTTCTCCTTCAGGATAAGCTCCCAGCCCTCTCACCCAAATGCAAATCCTCCTAACAGAGATTGGTCTGTACCTAGAAGTTATTAGGTTTCTAGCTCCTTCAGTGGGTTTCCCAAAGGGTCAATGGGGTGACCTTGCAAAGAACAGAACAGGAAAGAGTAGCAAAAAGTGGGATAAGGAGAAAGAGACCCAGCAACCTTGGCCCAGATGCTGTGGAGTTCTCCAGGCTCTGTACACAGCATGGTCAGAGACAGAGCAAGTGCAAGCAACATGAGTCAACTTCCTCACCCCTAGCTTCCAGATTTTCCAACTTACAGTTTATCTCAAATCACCCAGCATTCTTTTTAAAATGTTGCTATATGGTTTTGTTCATATCCAAAACACTGAAACACCCAGCAAAAGCCAGAAGATAACAGGACAGAGTAAGCCCATTCACTGCTTCCTATACAGGTTCACAACGTATACAGGCCTTTGCTCACAACCACTGACTGAATGCAGTTAGCTGTACAGGAGCTAACAAATACAATTTTAGGTTTTTTTTGAGAAACAGAAGCAGCAGCAAAGGCAAAACCCAAAAGAGCTCTCTGCTCAAAGCTGACCTCCTGAAGGCTAAGTACCTCCCTCCTGTCAGTCACAGTTTCAAAATTTAAAATCCACTTTATATCAGATGCCAGACGTTTCCCTCATTTACAGTATTTCAGTACTGATGACTCATGTAATTTTGACATATAATGGCTTTCTTTAAACCTGGGCTTCTTGATAAATGATTACTTAAGAAGCCTAACTTTTATTAAAGAAAATATTGATGCATGGCTTGGAATAGAAAGCTTGAAAATATAACCCAAGTGCAGAACTCTCAAAATCCAGAGTACAAACAGGAAAAACCATATGAGAAAAAAAGCCAAAAAATGACAAAACCAAAACCAAACTCATGATCTCATAGTGCTTCAGTCTATGAACAGAATGAAAGAGCTCCTCTGCATTTTCTAAGGCAAACATTGCCAGGTACAAGCCATCAGAGCTACCACCAGCCATTCCATAATGTCACCCAGTGACCCATTTTCCTCTTTGGAAGTTTATACCTTCTCTAGAATGTCCACAGAAATTTTTTTTCCCCCACAGCTTGAATGCTTCCTGCAACAAGTTATTCAAAAGATGTATGTTAAAAGAACAGCCACACTGGCAGAAACCTCAACTAATACTGTATTTTGCAACACTTTTTTTGTAATTTCACATATTTTTCAGGAAAAACTCAGTGCTTCAAATTATATCACTAGAAAGGCAGCTAATCCTTCCCAGATCCAACCACTAGATATACCACATTGAAACGCTGTGGCTGACTAAGCCCATTATAAATTTAAAGCCTCATTTTAAAAGGGAAAAGGGGTAAGACCACATGGCTAATTCTGAAGTGCTTTATAATTGCTGTTGAAACAGTAAACCCATGAAGTAGAGATGTTAGCTAAGTAGTACGTGGATATTCAGAGACACCCTTTGTATGAGAGCAGGGAACTGAAATCAAGTCATCCAAGCTGGCAGGTTTTTGCCCAGTTCCAATGTCTCCATTTTACAAGATCCCCTTTTCTTGACTACTCACCTCTTGTGCAAATGACTCTGCTTTCTTCCGCAAGTTCTTTTCCAGTTCAAAGTTTACATGAAGCTCTTCATATTCCTCTACTGCCAGCACAGACACTGTTTGTAAGAACAAAACAAGATCAGCAGTGGAATGGATCAAACCAGGAAGAAAGTACTGCTTGATTTCCCCAGACAAGCTGTTATTTCCCAGTACCATCAATCCTTGAATGAAGGTGTAACCTAGTTTTACATTTCCATGTATAATCTGTTTGACAATATTTGCCCTGTCTGCTCTAAACCACACTACATATATGCATATATTGATCTTCTGAATAGAATACTCCTCCCATCCAGACACAATCTCCAGTAACGGGCATCATGTAGATCATATTTTGACTTTTTGGGTGTAAGAAAGTAAATCCTCAAGAGAGCCTTGTTGAACCTATCAAAGATTACTAAGTTATTTTGGAGGCACCGATGGCTGGCTGCCTGGTTTGAGGGAGGCTTGATGTGTCCCTTTACAACAGAGATTTAAGGGAGCCTCAAGACAAATGCAGTACCAAGGCACACACAGATGGCAAAGCTAACCATGGGGCATCTCTCCCCAAACCATTCTGAAAAGGCATCAATCTGGGGCAGCAAGCATCATTTTTAAGTACTCAGGTATCACTTATTCTTAACAGGTCTCAGTGTCCACTTGCATCCTCTTGATAAGCTCTTACTGGTTGAAGATTAGTTTGCAGGGTGATGACATTGGATTTCTAACACTGTTGTACACAAGTTCCTTGGGTTTCTGGAGATGAGTGTAGCAGTTTTTCAAGCTACATACAGTAAGTGGCACTTACTTACACACATCCCAGCCCACCTGATGCTCCAAATGATGTTAACTTGAAAAAAGAATCAAACACAAAACCCAACAAATATCTCTCACACCTAGAAAGATTTAAGACACATTCACCACCTCTGACTGAAATTTATTGATTACACAGCCTCAGGACAGTGCGACATTGTCACAGAATACAGTAGGTATTGAACGCATATTTTGGTAGCTTATTTCAAGCATACAAAAAAAAACCTTGCTTTATGTCACCAGTGCCTTAGGATCTAGCCTGGTATAAATCCTCCTCAAAAACAGGATTGTGCTTTTATTTTTTTCTTAAAAAAACAAACAAAAAAAAACAAACAAAAAAAACAAACAAAAAAAAAACCCACAAAACAAAAAAAAACCCCAAAACATTGTAGAAGCATTTGACTGCCACCCTATCCCACCAAAAGCTTCTTCAAGCTGATCTGTTTAGTTAACCTATTCAAAGTTTGGTGCTTTAAGACCCTTCAAGTACTGCCTGTCATAGGTTTAAGCAATGCAGAAGACATAAAGGAGGTAAGAGCTGAACGCTTGGTGGAAGCTTACAGGGATAAGCCCCACTATGCAACCTCCTCTCCCTACGCCGAGAGGCAACTGCAGCACTCAGAGAGGATAAGAAACTCTTCTCCCAGCCAAAGCAAAAGAGAGACAATAGTTTCATAGAATCATAGAATCCTTTAGGTTGGAAGGGACCTCCAAGATCATCAAGTCCAACTATTGAGCCATTAGGGCTCTAAAGTCCTCTGCTAAAACAGATCAGAATCTGTCAGGGCTGGAAGGGACCACAAGGATCACCCAGTTCCAACCCCTCTGCCATGAGCAGGGACACCTCCCACTAGATCAGGCTGCCCAGAGCCTCATCCAGCCTGGCCTTAAAGACCCCCAGGGATGGGGCCTCAACCACCTCCCTGGGCAACCCCAGTGAAAGTTCACACATTTCTCTATAATTCAAAACTCAGGTGTTTCCTTCAGGCACATGGACTGCCCTCCTTTGTATATTTTTCCAAAGGAAAAAGAGAGTATTACTGGCAGAAGGCCACAGCATGACTGGAGTCTTCACTACTCCAAAGATTACACTTTTCTCCTGTATTTTCACTGTGTAGCTGTGGCTATTTCCACAGGTCCTCCTGTGTGAAAGCACCAGCCCTAGCTGTTTGCTCCACTGCCTGACAAATGTTTCAGAATTCCTGGGAGATGTTTTAAAAGCTTTTTATTTTTCCTCCCTAAGTAAGCAAGTAAAACACGACTGAAGAGGAACAACTTGAAGATAAACCAGAATAACTTTAGGCACTGGGAATGCAGTTGAAGACTTTCAGGATGCATTGTTGAACAAATAAGTGAGAACCCTTGGAAGGCAGAACAATTGATGCACCACGAGAAGCTGACATTAAAGGCCAGACCTGTTGTCTTGCACTTCAAGAAAATGTGGAACAGCCAAGGAAACTTTTAACCAAGCAATTTTAAAATTTACAAGGCTAAATAAGCAAAAGAGAAAACAGCACAGTAATCCCAGGCACTAAGATCCTTCCACTTCTCTCTGAACTACTGTTGGGTCAATCATTTCTCATGTGGAAGCACTCATTAAGCAAAAGCTTTCCTTTCCCTTCCTCAGCTCTCTCTCTTTTTAGACATTCCTTTTCCTGGTTTTAACCCTCATTTCTTTCCAGGAAGGGAAAATCCTTGCTTTCCTTTTGTAATTTGGAAATCCTATTTATCTCATTCCTAGAGCTCTTGCCTTTTTTGTCATCATCTGAACATAAAAGTTGCTCCCAAGTCTTTTGATATTCAAAATGATTAGGTGTGTCCCAGCTAGAAAGAAGGCTGATTTAATGGTTTAGAAAAACAGGAGACTCATGTCCAAACTTCATTTCTGAGGAGGACTCCCTTCTGGCCTTAATGTGCCACTTGTGCCACAGAGCAAAAATGTTTTGCTATTCTCACATACAACCTGCTATTTACACCCTCAAATTTTCCTGCAGCAGACAGCCTAGAATAGTCCATGTGTTTATGGAGTGCCTGCAGCAATGAGGTCGAGTGTCAGACCTGGAGCACAGCCACTGTTCTGTAACCTACTCTTTGTACTACAACCTAAAAGCTCTAAAGATTCTGCAAAGGATGTAGTAAATTGTTAGAGGATCTGCCGGGACCACACACCTCTGTTACATTTCTCCAACAGTTGCTGCTGCTTATTAACTTCTGCTGTCAAAACTGCCTTTTCTTCTTTCACTTTATTCACCTGGAAAAGTATCAAGAACAAATGAAAAATAAGAGAATTTTAGTTAGTGGCATAAAATGTACAGCACATACATAATTCAAACAAAATTTTGTGTTCAGTAATCCATTTTCTTAGGTTTAGCTTGATCTTAAGAGTTTCTAGTGGGATGGAAAGCATTTTTACTGCAGCTTACAGACCTCCTAGCAGATGGCATTAAAGGGCTATGAACCAATTCTTCACACGGGGCTCCCATGGCCCCCTCTGATGGCATGTACCAGTCACAGCTGCAGATTTAACCTCTTTGGAACTGTTCAGGATGAGGCACCATAGCACCTGGTTGAAAAGTTACTAGCTTGCCCTTGACTGTTTCTGTTTTAATATAGTCAGGCTGCTGTTTTGCTTTTTTTCCTGGGCTCTGTTTATTGTCCAAGAGCTGTCAGCTGTGTCTTTCTGAATGCAAGACAGGAAGAGCCACTAAGTCCTGATTTGCATCAGTACATGGCTTATCCAGTTTTCAAGCAGTAATGAAACTCTGCTGGCTCAAAAAGCCAATTTGCTGGTCTAATTACCATGACAGGGCACTGCCACTGGCTAAACTGCAGGATATGCTCAGTGAAGTAGCACCAGTGGTTAAAATGGAAATTCTCCAAAAGTATTTCTTGCACATCCACAGGTTTTAAGGAAGTCCAAACAAAGCCCCTACAGGTTGTGATGTGTGAGGAGGGGCTGTCAGGAAGTGGAGATGAGAGCTATAATATGGGTGTTAGAACAGACCATGAAGAGTCATGTGCCAGCAACAGCAGCAGACTAGACTCTGAGGGAGAAAGTGCCTTCTAGGCCTATGCCCCAAGTGGTCCACCATATGGGCAGGCTGACAGGACTTGCGATTAGATAGTATTCAATTAACTTCACAACTGAGTGTTTTTAGCAAAATTAGATACAGAAAGTACTGACTACACGCTAACGTGGTCTCGCCTTCCATGGTACAATACATACTTCTTCAATTACTTCTACAAGTTTGCACTTCAGGTTTTCCAGTTCAATGGCTAAGGTCTTCTTTTCCTCATGAACAGATACAATTTGATCTCGCAGCTCTACAGTTTGAGGAAGGAAATGAAAAATATATTTTATTCTTAGAAGAAAACTACAAAGGAAATGGCACAGCAATGCAAGTACAATAGAGTACAAAACACCTGAACTGCATACGAAGCACCCGTTTATTCAAGGTACATCCTCAATAATTCAGGAGCTTTGCCTAAGTGTCAAGTAACAGATCTATAACTGGGCCACAGTTTCAGATTTACTCTGTTGAGGTGAGCTGCCTCGTTCAGTCTGCCGTCTTTATTTGCATTCTAAATGATTCATTTCCTGCTACAACGGGGCCAATCCTGCCACCACAGAGCATCCTCAGTCCTGCTCAGGAGACTCCCACACCACAGAGACACCAGTACAGGGGTAGCAGAAAGCAATTTTTAATGGGCGTCCTTTAAAACAAATTAATGCACTTCAATTCTTTTTTGGATCATGAGTTCTTCACAAGGGAAATAAACAAAACAACAGGCGGTTAATATTTGGGAGGTTTTCACTGAAGAAATTGTCCTGAACAGCTGCCAATTTATAGTCCTTGTAACATTATGTGAACAGAGTCAGAACATAACCTTTACTGATGGAAGAGCTAATGCTTGTAATTTTCCCCTCAGAATTTTTATTCCTTAATTATCAAAATATGAAAATAAATTAAATTCACAATGGAATAAAACATTTTATTATAATCACTTCTTAACAGGAGATCAGTTTGCATACATAATATATCGAGGTTTAGGTTAACATACAAACACCACAAAAATATAAATTTATTGCTATATATTAGCTTTCAGTAAGTGCTTTTATTCCCCACCTGCTTCCAGTATTTCACAGCACTGCTGTTCACTGAATAGCAGCCACGAGTTGAGAAAATTGTTGCTAATCAATTGCAGATGATGATGACAACAAGCTCGATGCTGATTCTACTCTGCCCCCCCAAACCAGGAGCCTCAGATTTATTTTCCTCCAAATTACAGGCATGCACATCCTAAAGTAAATAAAAACATTTGCTTTCCCAGAAGAATCTTGAAACAAATCATATGGTTTCTGGATTTGTGCTTCCCACTAAAATTAATGGAACAAAAATTTCTCACTTAAATTTATGGTAACTGGATTAAGTCAGGTCTTGCAATACATCTATCAATCTCATAGAGAGAAGAAAGCATATCCATATATCTACTTCTTTACAAATTAGTACAAGAAAGGTTTCTTTTTGGCTACACGGTATGCACTGAACTGCTTGACCAACACAACTGAGTCTTCAGTTCCTTTTATATCCAAAAGATCAGCTAAAAAGAAAAAGAAAATCCAAAACCTATAAATAAATTTCAGGTAGTGCTGAGACCGCTCTACACTTCTGTTACGAACTACAGCTTTACTATCACCTTTCCCTAATGCAGGAGACAGCAAAAACAGAAGTTACCTGAGGAACAAAGTTTTATCCCTTTAATAAATGACAGAGTTTTAACTAAAGAGCTTTAGGCTGCACCACCTTAGTTGTATATCCTGACAGAAAAGTGGTGGGAGGGAAGGTATCATCCCAAGAAGCACCCAATATGCTACTGAATGGTGAGAAGGTTAAAAGACTTCAAGGCTCCCAACACAAAAACGACTGCTTGGAATCAGAAACGCACACAGAAGAGTGGATTTCACCTTGGGCAACCACAAAGCATTGGGGGTGGGGTTTGAAAACACATCTTTCATTGCCTACAGTCTTTCACTTAGCAGGTAATCCAAGATGTAACTTCAGGCTTCTCCCTGACAACAACCGCCCTGCGGCTTGGCTTAGGCTGGGGGACAGCCCTAGCACTGCCTTTTGGCACATGCTTAGGCTGGGGGACAGCCCTAGCACTGCCTTTTGGCACATGCTTAGGCTGGGGGACAGCCCCAGCACTGCCTTTTGGCACATGCTGAGGCTGGGGGACAGCCCTAGCACTGCCTTTTGGCACATGCTTAGGCTGGGGGACAGCCCTAGCACTGCCTTTTGGCACATGCTCTCAGGTCACTCTGCTACCATACACACACGCCTCCCTCCAGGCACAGGGCTGGAATATCTTCTCCTGTAGCAAACTGGATGCCAATGCTTTTAAAATACTCAGCACTTGTAAAAGTCAAGTCATTAACATTTAATAATAAGACCAGAGAGAGAAGCAGAAGCCAGGAGTTCTAAATCCTTTATAGCATGCCACACTTTGTTCTTTATTGAATTCTTCAGCAAGACAGAAAGCATACACTTCAGAACCTTCCTTGAAATATCTCTTATTTGACTCTGCTGCCCCCCTAACCACATACTTTGATCTTCAGACAGGGTTTCTGCTCTCTTAAAATATATCCTTGACATCTTTCTCTGATAAAAGACAGGGGGAACTCCAGTCTTATTTCCAATTCAAATGGGTTATATGGTGTGGA